TACCTTCCACTGCTTTCATGAGACGCGGCAATGGCCGGCGACGTAAACCTTAAGGGTGGAGGGCGACAGCCTGCGCTCCCACCCTTCTTGCAGGAAGGAAGCATGAACTCTATCGAACATCTGGGGGTCTTCTCCGCGAGAAGAGACCAATTGACGAAGAGGTTTCCACTTCAACGCATAAAGGTGTCACGTGGACGACGCTCTTGCGGAAGTGATGGTTGCCGCCACCGCAGGTGGCAGCGAACTCAAACCTGCCTCGTCCCGTCAGTGAGCCACACGTGCAGCCTCCAAGATCGGGACGAGGGTGCCACAGAGTGCCCCGTCTCTGAGAGAAGGTCCTCTCAGAGGAATAGGAGGGCTGTCGCGAGGAGCAAGAGATCGGAGAACCACGTCTTGGTGGGCCTAGGGGGCTACCAGCAAGACCTGCTCCTCGTCCTCCTTGATCTTGCACAACACCCGTGCAAGGAGGCTCACTGGGGGAACGCATACTTGCGTGGGCCCCGTGGCCAGCTGTGCGCCAGCGCATCCGAGCCGAGAGAGTGCCGCGGGTCAGAGAATTAAACTGGGCGCAGTGGGACGAGTCCCGAGAGGCGAACAGGTCTAACTGTGCCTCCCCGAACTGGTCCCAAATCAGCTGGACCGACTGGGGATGGAGTCGCCATTCGCCGGAGATGGGACGGACCCGGGAGCTCGTCGGCTGCCCAGTTCCGGTCTCCAGGAATGTAACTGCACGAAGGGACCTCAGGTGCTTCTGACTCCATATCAAGAGGTGGCGGCGAGCGCAGCTGCGACAACGGCGCGAGCGTAGACCCCCCCTGGTGGTTGATGTACGCTACTGCCGTAGTGTTGTCTGAGCGGACAAGCACATGCTGGCCCTTGAGCAACGCTCGGAAGCGGTGTAGGGCGAGCCGTACTGCCAACAGCTCGAGGCAATTGATGTGCATGAGGCGCTGGGCTCCTGTCCAGGAACCGGCGGCTGCATGCCCATTGCACATGGCACCCAACCCGTGGTAGATGCATCCGTGGAGACAACGAGATGCCTGGAAACTCGCTGAATAGGGACGCCGGTCCGTAAAAAGCTGAGGTTCGACCACGGGAAGAAGGTTCGGCGGCATGTCGGAGTCACTGGACTCGGAGCGAGCCGCGATGCCATGCCCACCTCGGGACTCGATCGCGAAGCCACAGCTGAAGCGGTTCTCATATGAAGCAAACCGAGCGCGTTGCCGCGGCCGCGGATGCCATATGCCCCAGGAGCCTCTGAAATAGTTTCAGTGGAACCGCACTCTTGCCCTCGAACTGTCGAAGACAAGTCAGCAGTGAGTGCGCGGCGCTCGTTCGTGACTGCGCGGACATGGCGACCGAGTCTATCTCCACGCCGAGAAAAGAGATCCTCTGCACGGGGCAAAGTTTGCTCTTCTCCCGGTTGACCGAAGGCCCAGACGGGCTAGGTGCCGGAGCACCAGTCTCTGTGTTCGCAAAGCTGAGCTCGAGAGTGTGCTAGTATCAGCCAGTCGTCGAGATAGTTCAGGATGCGAACCCCGTGTTCGCGAAGGGGAACAAGGGCTGCCTCGACGATCTTCGTGAAGACGCGAGGGGACAGAGCTAACCCGAATGGGAGAACGGCGTACTGATATGCCTGGCCCTCGAAGGCAAACCGAAGAAACGGTCTGTGTCGAGGTAAAATGGACACATGGAAGTACGCGTCCTTCAGGTCGATCGCTGCAAACCAATCCTGATACCGAACACATTCGAAAATGCGTTTGGCCGTGAGCATTTTGAACGGTAGTCGATGGAGAGAACGGTTCAAAATGCGCAGGTCCAGGATCGGTCGTAACCCACCGGTCTTTTTGGGGACAATGAAGTAGGGGCTGTAAAACCCGGACCTCACCTCGGCTGGAGGGACCGTCTCGATTGCACCCTTCGCCAGCAGGGTCGCAATCTCCGCTCTCAGACTGGGGCATTGCCACCGACCATCGTGGAGCGAACTCCCTGAAGCGGGGAGGAGACCGTGCGAACTGAATCGCGTAGCCGAATCTGATCGTTCTGATGACCCAGCGGGATATCCCGGGAAGCGCTAGCCAGGCTTCCAGGAAATGAGCCAACGGGGTCATGCGAACCACAGACGTCCCCCCGGAGGGGCAGCGGTGCGGGTCGACTGGCACGCGTGCAGGAGTTACCCCGCTCGGATGCGTCGAAGCCCGCTCCCCGACAGAAGGACCAGGGAAAGCGGAGCGTTCCACGGGGTCTGTTCTGCCGGGGGTCTGGCGACAGAGGGGGAAGGGATTGGTGTAGCCCTGGGACGACACACGCACCCTTCCGCGCCCTCAGAGACAGAGAGGAGTGTGTGGGCTGACGCACGGG